ATTAAAATAAGAGATATGAAGGATTAGACTTCAAAAGACAAATCCAATATATATATTAATATCTAGTGTCTATTCAATATTTATAAGGGTATTTTACAAAAAGTATAGTTCTATTCAATATTTGAAGGGTACTATACAAAAAATATAACCCTATTCAATATTAAAGTTCAAAAGGCAAATTCAAAATATGTCTAAACAAATATAAGAAAAAATTGAATTGGGATTGATTTTTATTAACTAGGAACCAATTATTAATTAAGAACAAATTAATAATTTAGAATAAATTACCAATTAAGAACCAATCTTGATGTTCTTGTCATTATGCTTCTAATGGTGATGAGAGTATCTCAACCACTGGTTTTTGATTTTCAATTAGCATTCTTGCTTTCTTTTTCTTTCTCTTTTTTTAAAAAGGGTTTTCTTAATGATACCATATGATACAACTCATTATTTGTCACTTAATTTGATTTTTGATGCTAAGTGTCACCAAAGAGAAGGATTAAATAGCTTGAGATGAAGAAGGGAAGGGCAAGAGTGGAGAAGAGGAAAAGTTGAGAGAAAGCGAAATTGACGGGAAGTTAGGATTTGAGTAATTTTTTTATTTTTACTTTTAGGATTATGAGATTAGAAATTTAAAATTAATTTTTAAATAATCTAATAAAAGATAGTTCGGGTCATGTTGGATGACTCAATGCACCCGTGACTCAACCCATTTGGATTTGAATAATTTTAGTCCGGATCATTCTGAATTTCGAATTAACATATAAGATTTATCACTCGACCTATAAAGAATGGATTGGACCCAATTTTACCAAGTCTAAATACGATCAGTATTTGACTTGAAATGACATTTAAAATATATTGTATCGATCTTAATCTCAAACTAGTGTGTACCAATTGTACTAGCAGGTACAGGTCGATAAGGTACAACATCAAAAACCTTGATTTTTATTAAAAAAAATATTAGTTTAATAAGTAAAATTTATTAATTAGATAAAATTGTTAAAAATTAGTTTTTTTCTTTTTAAAAATAATATAATTTTTTTTATTAAAAGTAGAAATGAGTATATGATTATACTATTACAATTTATTT